CTAGAATTTTGAAAAATTAAATTTTTTTCATATATTTAAAGTTTAGACCCTTAAGAACATATCCTCCGAAGGATTTTTAAAAATTAAAATTATTTTAATAGCTATAGTTACTTTAGTGACGCAGTACCTAGCCCGGTAGGTAGGTAGACCTTTTTAACGCGTTTTTCTCGAAAATATTATTTTCTTTATATAATCCTTTATCCTTTATCTTTATATAATCTTTAATCCTTTGTTTTTAATATAAAAAAAAATGAGGAATTTAAAAAAAAGCATAAAAAAACTATTTTTATTTTTAGGCAGTCGCCATTTTTCAAAAAAAAAAAATTTTCATGTTCCCTGACACAGAGACTATAACAGCATCCTTACTGATTAAGAATTTCTTTTGATTTTTTTTTTTTTTTTTTTCAGACCACCAGGAGAGTCAGGGTCAACGTCACCAGGATGCGCCATTTTTTTTTACACCTGTTGTTTTTTAATTTTTAATATTTCTTGGTAAAAATTTTTTTTGTATTTTTATTTAATCAACATAAAAAAATGGATAGTAAAAATATTTTTGGGTTTTTTTTTTAATAAATTTCAAGAAACTGCCCAAAATTTGATTTCTAGAGTAGAATACGCCCTTAATTTGGATCGATATACACAAGCGGATTAAAGTAAACTACAAGTTCGAAATTTGTGATACAGGCTATTTTTGAAATACTGTTATCAGGAAAGGATTTGCTAAATTCAATAACATAACTATGAAATATTCGTTGTAGGAACTGGGGTTCATAAATTCGGTATCTAGGGGGCTTCAACAGCTGTAGTCTGTTGGTTGCGATCTGATTTCGCCATTTTTACAATGGAATATGGGAATAATAATATAAGATTATTTTCCAAATTTCTTCGATATCGGTCGAGTAAGTCCTGAGATGTGGGCAGTGCCACAGCCATTTGGACCCCTATTCTTATAAAGGCCGCTTTTCGTACTTTTAAAGGGACTACATGCCTTTACGGGTTTCAAAAACCGTAAAAAAGGTGATCTATTCACCGATGCCCAGAGCATACTTAAATTATGGAGGCAAAACTTCTCAGGCCTGCTGAATGGCAGTGAACGCACAACGCCAGGAGATGGCGAACCCGATTCCCCAATCGATGACGATGGAGCAGACGTTCCATTGCCCAACCAGGAAGAAGTTCGAATAGCAATTACCCGTCTGAAGAAYAACAAAGCAGCGGGGGCCGATGGATTGCCGGCCGAGCTATTCAAACACGGCGGCGAAGAACTGATAAGGAGCATGCATTAGCTTCTTTGTAAACTATGGTCGGACGAAAGCATGCCCAACGATTGGAATTAAGTGTACTATGCCCAATCCATAAAAAAGGAGACCCCACAATCTGCGCTAACTACCGTGTGATAACCTCCTTAACATCGCATATAAGGTTCTATCTCTTGTGTGAAAGATTAAAGCCCACCGTCAACAAACTGATTGGATCTTATCAGTACGGCTTTAGACCTGGAAAAGCACCAACCGAATAGATATTCATCATGCACCAACTCTTGAAAATGAAACGTGAAAGGAAAATCGACTCACACTACCTCTTCGTCAATTTCAAAGCTGCTTCTGACAGTACGAAAAGGAGCTGCCTTTACGCCGCGATGTCTGAATTTGGTATCCCCGTAAAACTAATACGGCTGTGTAAACTGACGTTGAGCAACACCAAAAGCTCAGTCAGAATCGGGAAGGACTTCTCCGAGCCGTTCGATACCAAACGAGGTTTCAGACACGGCGACTTCCAATCATGCGACTCTTCAAAATGCTACTGGAGAAAATAATTCGAGCTGCAGAACTTAATCGAGCAGGTACAAACGTTTATAAGGGTGTACAGCTGCTGGCGTATGTCGATGATATTGATATCATCAATACCTCCGCTGTTAGTTCTGCCTTCTCCAGACTGGACAAGGAAGCAACACAAATGGGTCTGGCAGTGAACGAGGGCAAGACGAAATATCTCCTGTCGTCGCACTTGCGAATTGATTTTCAACATAATCTTTGTATGGGAGGTGGGCGTGGTTATTATCCGATTTCTTCCATTTTTGAACTGTATATGGAAATGTCTAAAAGAAACGACTCTATACAGTTTGGTTGACATAGCTGGCGTCCAAATATGCCCCTCCCYAATGCGATCCTTTKTGCCAAATTTCATTTTAATATCTTTATTTATGGCTTAGTTATGACACTTTATAGGTTTTCGRTTTMCGCCATTTTGTGGGCGTGGCAGTGGGCCGATTTTGCCCATCTTCGAACTTAACCTTCTTATGGAGCCAAGAAATACGTGTACCAAGTTTCATCATGATATCTCAATTTTTACTCAAGTTACAGCTTGCACGGGAACGGACAGACGGAAGGACGGACAGACAGACATCCGGATTTCAACTCTACTCGTCACCCTGATCACTTTGGTATATATAACCCCATATCTGACCCTTTTAGTTTTAGGACTTACAAACAACCGTTATGTGAACAAAACTATAATACTCTCTTTAGCAACTTTGTTGCGAGAGTATACAAATTACTTCATCATTTGATGTAGAATTTCTCTAAAGAAGCACATCTTAAATATCCATTTACGTAGGTTGCCTTTTGTATTTCGGAATAACATAACAAAACAAATTTTAATCATCCAAATTCGCTTTATTTTCTCGAAACATTCTCCATTAAGATCTAGACACTTTTTGCGTTTGAACCTATTGTCGAAGTACTTTTGTCACTCTGTTAAAGTTATCTCCAAAGCGGATGACTCATCAAAGTGATGGTTTGAGTAGTCAAAAATGCACTTGTTTCAGTCGATGTGTGAAAGTTTGCATTGACATGTCCAAGGATCCGTCTTCGGCGGTTGGATTTTCTGATTTCTTTTTTTCGATTCGGCTCCTTTTGAAACACCCATACAATCAGCTGGTGTTTACTTTCCTACTTTTACGCGTAAATCCAGGATTCATTACCCGTTATGTTGTTACGGACTTCTTTTGAAGCACAGCTATCGAATCTTTTTAACATTTTTCTCCGCCAATCGGCACGATCCGATTTTAGCATCCAACGTCAAACTTTTTCTACAGTCAATTGTCCAATATTGAATGTATCCTAGTTTCACTAATACTTATTGTTGTCTCACGATAGGTCACATGGCAATCTAGTAATTTGCGCACAGCATTAATAGTTTCCGTAATAATAACTGATTTCGCATGACCTTCACAAAATCCGTCATGGAATGATCTAAGACCTTCGTTGGATTCACCATACCATCGCTAAACACTGAATTATGTTCATTGATGCACTGTTGCTAAGATAATCTACGTCGAAAGTAGTACAAAATAATTGCTCAAAAATGTTCGCTCAGGTGAATATTTCAAGTTACAGTATGAAGCATAAATAGGGTTGAAAAATCCCAAAATAAATTGAAAGATGATATGGACTCATTTGTATACACAAAGAGAATGCCTCCATCAAAGCATAATGGAATTTGAGAGACATTACCAAACCCAATATAATGAAAGCAGGATTTGAGACTATATTTGGGTGTTAATAAGAGAAACTTGTGCAGAACATGACGGGAAAAGTAAAACTGTTTATTTTGAAATATTTGGAGTGTATTTTAAATGCCTATTATATGAATGATCGGTGCCTTTCAATAAATTATTATACTGTGCAACATGTCTCTACAGAGTATCATCCTGACATATCTACATTACAGTATGAATATACGCAAAATCAGACAAAAATCATGCCTACTTTCTATATAACACAATTTTAAATTAGCCTTTTCGGCCATTTAGGCGATATATTATATTATCACATAACATGTATCGGCCGAGCTATGTATATGTATTGTATTTCATCGGTCTTGATCCTTGCAAATTGTAAGAGTGTACACCCGAACTTAGAAATAGATAGAAAATGCAGAGCTTTTTTTTAAGTTAAATTAAGCTTTTCATCAATTACACCTTCCTGTAGTACGGAAACGGCCAGGTAGTGGTGTCGTTTCAAATTTGGTGAGAAATTAAGTTATGTGGAAATGTCTTTTAAGAAAATTCAGTTTATTACTCTCAATAGAGAATTAATAAAACTAGAAAGGAAGTCAACATCGAAGTCACCGAAGCTATAATATCCTACTTAATCTGAAAGCCCGACCGAAAAGCAATTTGCTTATACTTTCTAGCCACCGTTCTTTAATACCTTATATCTTCAGATCGAATTAAGAATAATTAATAAGGAAACATATCTTTTACAAAGAACTCGATCAACTAGTTTGAATGACAGATATATACTATATTGATCCTATCTAACCAACTGGGAGATTTTAGTACTGTTTGGACATTAATCTGTGCTGATAATTTCGTGAAGATAGTATAAGAACAGTTTCTTTGGAATAGAGGGACGTCCATATCCCAAAGGCTTAGGTGTTAGTTCGTTCATATATAGAAATACGCAAGGTCGAATATGGCTACATCTACTCAAGCTGATTGCTTACATATACTTACATTTTATAGTTCTACGACGTTTCCTGTTTCATGGCAAAACTAATATCCCATGTTCAGTGTATGTTTCATGTCTTTGAAAACCCCACAAAGCTTAGAAAAGGACCAAGACGTGTTGTAGATAACCAACCATTAAAGATATAAGTACTTTGAACCTAAACATAGGCGTGCCTTAGTAGTTATTATAAAGTTTATGTATATAGCGACAAAACGTACATTAGAGAAAATCGAACACAATAATTTGATATAATTACCTCATTAGTTAGGCTAATGAGATGTGGCAAAGAGAATAATAAGCAAAGACTCGGAATGTAATTGAGTTCCTCTAAAAGAAAATTACTCAATTAACTCATAAGTAAAAAAAGGAAGCAAACGAAACAAAAATGGGGTATATAAGGAATGTTCTACCAAAATGTCGTGTGTTCTGAAAACACTGCCTGCGCTCGTATATTCCGGAATAAAAAAATAGATTATATAAGACGAAATGTCTGAACTCTACTCAATGAAGCATTGCTTGAAGTATCCCTACTTCACCTTGGATCTGGCTGCAACGGAACCCTTCACTTGGAGCGGCGCACGCACATACAGCCATCGTAGGATCTGGCTTAGGCGCGCGCTGTTCACTTTCGGCGCTATAAATTTGGTTTATCAAAATATCGGTATGCTCATTTATCTCTTCATGCCGCACGAGAGCAGCGCTCAGTCTACGATCGTTCAGGTAACCGAAACTGGAGGCATTATGGGGCTAACCATGGTCGGAACATCGAATATGGTCGTCATGTTTTGGTATGGAGACCGAATAGCGATGCTTTTAGAGAAATTTCAGCAGTTATTTCCTACGGCAGGCCTCCAAAGAAAAGCCAAGTTTACGAAACGATCGCTCAGAGGTGGTGAGTATGTGTCTACAAGTATATAACATAGGTAGGTAGGTGAATGGTAAACAGCTTTGTCTATAATTTTTACTATGCTTTAACTCTATATCTTCAGTGGAATTTCCACATCGCATTGAGCATTTTGTGTTAAAGTCCAATAAACTGATGAAGCTCGCGACTACACTTTACATGTTCGCATTTGCTTATTACAATTCTCTGCCGATTGTCGAGTTTTTGTACGAATGGACGACACCGGGTGTCGTTTGGAAATATCGTTACCAGTCCAATACGTGGTATCCCTGGCAAAATGAGCGTAACGCCAAATCATTTGCGTCATTTACGCTCGCTTATGTCTGCCAAGTGCAGTCGTCGCTGACCGGTGTCGCCTTCATTATGGCCGCAGAATTTATGCTCTGCTTTTTCACGACACAGTTGCAAATACATTTCGATTACTTGGCCAATGCGCTGGAGACAATCGATGCCGCTGGCGCAAATGCTAACGAGGACTTGAAGTATTTAATAAACTACCACAGTCAGTTGCTGAAGTGAGTTTGTGTGTGGTGAAAGAGTTTTTGCGATAGTTCCTTAATTTCCTTCCTTTTTTACACGAAGCTACTCCAAGGAAACTAATGCTATCTTCAATGTGTCATTTATGGTGAATCTCTGCACTTCTGCCATAGCGATCTGTTTGATGGGCTTCTCCATGGTCATGATCAGCTTGGCTCACGCCTTCAAATACTCCATTGGTCTGACTTCATTTATTGTTTTCACGTTTTTCATATGTTACACCGGCAAGGAGCTAACGGAAACGGTGAGTATAATGAAAGTATAAATAGGTCAAATTTTCTCTCGCATCTGTCCACTGATTATTAGTTGCCTGCAAAAAATAATGTAAGGGTGATTCTATCGGAATCTCTTTCAATTATGGGACTGAATTAACGACGCATTGCTTTCCATAAGCTGACTAAAACATGGAACGAGAAAACACTTTAGAAGGTAAAGGAAATGAAGAAAAGCAAAATTATTTAACAAAACCAAAAAAAAAAAATTTAAGAAAATAAATATCTTTTCAAAACTCCCCAAACCGTATCACGAAAGCTGTTAATTTTCAAACTGATTAAAGCGTAAGCGAAAGGTTAGCTGAAGTTTGTCACAAGAAGGAATTTTCCTATCTTTTACTTATATATTACAAATTCGTTAGTTTAGTCGGACTGCTGAAGAAGATTCAGAGAGATTAGCATTTACGGGGATAGCAAAAAGCAATATTAATTTTAGCCGCTCAGACTATATGTTTAAAACTAGTTACGGATTGCTTAGCTTCATTATTAATTGCATCGAGTTACTTCTTGATAAGCTTTATAGCGGTATCTGATTACAGCAGAATCGTGGCGTAGCTAAACACCTTTTTCATACTTCCATATTTTGAAATTTTCATTTTCGGTATCATAAAAAACCAGTCCGCAACTCTTAAAGTGGGATCCGCATAAAGTAATTGTTCAGTAAAAAAAAATCGCTTAGCTAAGTCTTATCTAAAACCATTTTCTATATTGGGTTCGTATGATTTAGGTCATTGAGCCCCTCTTTAATCCGAACCGAAACCTGCAGCGCTTTTAATTTCTCTTCAAAAGTCTTCTAAATTAACACTCGTTTCAACGCTCCTTCACCAGAGTTTTATATTCTCTCTTCTCATTAGAGTGATAAGCTTCTGAACGCGGCTTTTTATGGCAACTGGTATGATGGAAACTTGGCTTACCGAAAAATGATACTATTTTTTATTATGCGCTGTCGCATACCAACTGAATTGAGAGCATACAAATTCACCACAGTCTCGATGCCCACCTTTACCGCAGTGAGTTTGTAGGAAATATTGATATGCTTGATTTTTTACTGTAATTTAATTTACGTTATATTTCAGATTTTAAGATCGTCTTATAGCTTGTTCACATTTTTTCAAGCCATGGGTCAGTAATAGAATCAGATTTGGCATGATATGGAAAGCGATTTTAAACTGATGACAATAACTTAAGTGCTGCGCCATGTTCTCTTAATCAACACGGTAGTCTCCAAATAGAGTTTATAGATTCCATATTATAGAGTTTTACTAGATGCGCACTCAAAATGGTGTATCCAATTAAGATTGACATTAAACATCATTTAACTGTCAAATTAGCGAAGTGCCACACCATTTAACTTAAATCGTTAGACCTGCTAGAAAAGCCTACAGAAATTAAATTAAAAAAGAAATATGCAAAAATTTATGAAGTAATTATATTTTGTTTAATAACTCATTATTTCTTGAATATTATTATTATTATTACTTGTTCCTTTTTAATTTTTTATTTAATTCTATCAATAATTTTTCGAGAATGCCACATATGTACAAATTACGTACTATCATATAAATTATCTGTTTATTCAGATTCATCGCATTAATTTCGCTTGTAATTTCCATATGCAAAATAAATAAATAATTGTGTATTTATCGGCCAGCGAAAGAAAAATTTATTTGCGGTGAAATCAGCGAGGCATCCATCATATTTTTTGCATGACTGTATTATAATTTATAACTGTATGTAAGTATTTATCAAATTGCAGTTTACGAGTTCATATCTATTGATAAATGATTTCAATGGTAATTGAAAAAGGGATCAGCTTGAATATGCAAAGTGCTCTGCAACTTTTAACACACGCTGAAATCAACAATTTTGTATGACAAGGCTCAAGTTCAGTAGGAGTTGAGTAATATCACTATGATTCTGGTCAATTAGTTGAAGCAATTAAGATACAAATTTACTGAAAATGTTTTGTTTTCCAATATACACATTTAGTTCCATAACTGATCGGCATTCACTAATCTGAATTTTCAATTCTACCACAACCACCACGAATCTCCCATAAGGACCAAACTCAACGGGCAAATTGGAGCGAAGTCCAATGGCTAACCGCTCTCCGTGGTACCAAATTTAAGACTCGGGTCAGCCCTTTTAGTTTTTACTACTACCAGTTGAGCACGCATCACACTCTATACTTGTGCCCTTTGTCACTTGAATTTCAAATGCCCTTTCATTAGAAGGAATCTCGTTCAAAGTCTATAATATCCGTTCAAGCTGAGTATTATAGCACTATTTCTGACAAGAATACGTTGAAATGTCGAAGCAAGCCAAAGAACAGACATATGTAGTGCATATTAGATTTTAGTCGTCTCTTATTATTACTCTTATATAAGCTAAAAAAATGTAGAAGCTAAGTCATTAAAGGATATTTCCTTCCACAATCAGTGAGGTTATGGAGAGAGTTGCGATAAGTAGAACTGATAATTTTCACGAGCAAAACAAAAATACCTAAATTTAAACTATATTCATCCAGTGATAGGTTTAATACCGAAAATACATAACGTACAGCAACAGTTGGAATAGGAAACATTATGGATAGTCTCATTCCGAACCAGCTAAACTTAAGTAAATCCAACTTTCCCTCGCATTGTTAGATTGAGGGACTTTCGGCTGAGGGTACCCACTGGATATGAATGGAGAAAAGTTTTAGCAGGAGAGGAGGATAATACCTCTATCTATACCGACGAGTTCAAAATAAACTGCGAAGTAAGGGAGGGGATTTACTCGAATGCTCTTGACATATCTCTTTATAGCCATCGTCCAAGCTCAGCCAGTATCTTTCCAGCTGAAGTACTAAGCTCAGGGAAGAGATCTATTGAATAACCATGGTAGGATAGACAAAACAACCATATACATGGATACCCAGGCGGCATTGATGGCGACGCCACAGCTTAATTCCAGTGTAGTAACCAAGCTCCATGGTAGGTCAATACCACTTATCCATAATTTGGGTTCACGATAACAAGATCATTTTTGGCAACTAATAGGCAGACAAGAATGAAAACCTAAGAGCCTCTTTAGACGAATTCGAGGCGGAGTTTATACCATATATCCTGAAAATTTGATAAAATATCTTAGAGCAGATGGAAATCAATAGCATACTGCAAAATAGCAAATAAGATATGACCCCATATGACAGGATTAGAAGCAAGGACTTATCCAAAGGTCCATAAATAGTATATACAAACTATATACAAACCTTTTGAATAGTTGCCGCAACTGCAATTTAGAAGCATTACTGTCAACGAAAAGCAAAGCGGATATAAGCAGTTTCATTGCGAGAACTAATTCCTACCTACTTAAGTTAACTAAACTTCTTGAGGCTCTACTGTTCGAGTTCTAAGAGTATTTGCATTGAAATCAAAGGCATATCATGAAAGCGATTGCAATTGAAAAGATAATGTGAATTAATAAACTGCACTCTAACAATGCGAGAAGCAAGAGTGGACTCGGTTTTCGGATTTGAATAGATATTATAGTATTGGTTTTACCTGAAACGATTAAGCACTCCGAAGCACTCCAAAACAAGGTTCTGCATAAATCAGACGTTCTAACTTAAACCATAAATATACTATATACTGTAATAAAATATCCGGAACGTGAAAAGGACGAACAGAATCATTTAAAATCTGCACTTGAAGTTCGTGTTATAGAGATCTAAATCTGCGAACATCAATAGCAGTGAGCAAACAGAATCTCCAATATTTGGTTTATTGAACGAGATGGGTGTCAAGAGATACCGAAACTTATCCTTAGCTAAATTCCACCACTACACAAACTGCTTATAAGGCTCGTAGCACAGCCTAAGTTCCGTGGGCTTCCGGTTTTATCAGTACTCAAAATAAAGCGATTTTTTTAGGACAATCACAAAAATGCTGAAGGTGTTTACTTAAAAATGCAAAGCAAAATATTTCTCTTTTTCAAAACTTAAACTTTTCTCATTTTAGAAACGCTTCAAGGTCGACCCAGTTAACATTAATTATTTAGCTGTCCACTTCCGGCTCTGGCGACGATATTTCGCTTTAGGTTTTTTACTATTCTTAATCACCATTCTCTGTGCGTTGTTTTTTTTTTATTCTTAGTTTCTTCCACACCTAATGTCTATCGCAATTTTGCCGCTCGCTTCGCTAGTTAACTTCCGCTAAGCGTCACCTTCGACTGACTGTTGTGCACAGCGATTATCACCGTTACAACTTTCGACGTAAATAAACCTGACAGTTTATTTAGCTCGCCTTCATTGCTTGCATGCTTAAACTTGCATCATTATTGTTGTTGTTTTGTGTGCTTTTATTTTCTCACACCTGAAAACTTCTTTGTGTTCAAAATTCAACTAAAAATTTAGGAATTTCCGAAACACTTTGCTATTTCGGTACTTTGCTCCTTTCGATTTTTGGATTTGCAGCAGCCACGCAATGACGGAACTCCCTTCAACCGCTAGTTTGATAGCTTCGCCGTGGCACGTGACGTCGGTGAAGTGGAAATCATTGCGTAGGGCAACGGGTTGTAGTGCTAAGGTTGTGATTTTACCTTAGTTGTCACGTCCGCTGGCGACAAAATAGTCAGGTAAGTGGATACAAAAGGACTATTGTGGAAGCTAAATCCGTGAAGTGTTTTGGTCAGAAATAATCGTTACCTCACCTCCGGCATACAGATGAGCTGTGCGCCATGTAAAGAAGATTGAATCAACTGGCAGAAAATTAAGAAATTTAATTTGGATCTGCCATGGAGATTGAATTTACTGGAAGGTAAGCTTTGGAAAAATAGACACAGATGCAGGAAATGCTTAGAAATATTCAAAACGTGTTTGGAGTGTGGAATTAGATGATTTCATTTATTTATATATTTTTATTTTCCACAGATTATTTTTTTTTTTTCAGCTTTAAAAGCAATTTCCATAAAACGTAACCTGATGAAACTCTGTCAAAAAGTTGAATATATTATTTGTATTTCCTTAAATGTGTTAACTCTTGAAACACTATATCCTACAGGTACCGACGAATAAAGGCTTAGTTTAGAGAGAAGTTTTGACTGGATACAAGGTTTTATTTACTCCAATTATGAAACAAATGCTTTCGTTTCTTAAATTTACAGTCAGAGAATCGCACGACGACAATACAAGACGAAAATACATAAGAACTTAGCAATGACTTAATATTGGAAATAATCACCTCATTCGATTCAAATTTCTGTTCTTCATGTTTGGAAAACAATTCAATCGCACGGAGCTAAGTCTGCAGAAAACGGTGTATAGGACGGTACATAGTCTAGTTCAACAAACTGAAATCTGGTGACACTGGTTGTATTAACCGGTCAGATGTCATTGTGGAACACCCCTTTTTTATACTCCAAATGGGAATCGGCTTTTTCTACAATTCGCCATCGTATCGGCTCAATAATTTGGCGTAGTAGAGCCATGCCATTTTGCGTTGCTTCAAGCAGTCGATTTAGTTCAGACAACGTGAATCTCAGGAAACTCATAAATTTTTCGACCAGCAGAACAAAGTTCGCCATCTTTGGGGCAGATCTGTCGCGTAATGTTACTATTTTTTTGTCTCTGGCTTATCCTTTGTGTACGATCACGAAACATTGCAGAAACTTGTAAGATTGGACTTGAACAGTACTAACGATAGAAGTGGTGTTAGGCTTGTGCACTTTATCCGGAAGGAGCAAATTGGATAGCCATCGTACGGCTAGCTTTCTTATGTCCAACATTCCATTCAAAATAAAACGCACACAGTCTTTAGAAATGCCTTAAGTCAAAGCTATTTAATGCACCTTCGATCGGTGGTCGGTCAATATGTGGTCGTAGACGTTTGAGAAGTAAACCTCAGCTCTAGCTGTTTGTAAAACTAAATTTTGGCGGTCACCATCGAGGAAAGAAGATCAAAAATCTCAAAAAGTAACATCTATCCGCACTTTGATCTCATTGCGTTTCGACTGACATTTCGATTCCAGAACAATCTAAGCTAAAGTTGGACTGATTTTTTCAGGACAAAGACTTTCGCGAGACGTGTTCTGTGGATGGGTAAGATGTTGTCCCCCGGACTTTTTTTTGGTTTCTTGGCACCAAGCAGCA